GCTTTTGATCTGCCTGAGCAACTATTACTTTGTCGATACGAGGAGTGCACACAGACCAAGGGCAATGTATGTCCATGAATTTTTACTGACTGCAAATGCAGCTCCGCACAAGCTAAACCACACTGGCAGAACGTAAGACCTTATATGCATTTTCTGTGCTGTTCTGTACAACACGTGAGGAATGCTAATCAGCATTTGAAAGGAAACGTGGGCTTTCAAAGAAGACCCACCAAAATGCAAAATGGGAATATATATTCTACCACCAAAAAGTCCAGAAGACCTTGTGAGTCATCTGGAAGCAAATGACTCCCACTGCCTCCCCCTCCCCACCACTCTTAAAACACAATCATCCTCAAATGATCCGGATCTTTCAGGGTTTTTTTGCCTTTTAGTAACGCAATTAAGAACATAAACAACAAACCTAAAGGCTAAATAAACCCGAGTAACAGCTGACATTTTCCTTCCCTGCCCTGAACATCACTATTTCGGGTTCATCACAGTTTGGCCACCGCAACTGCAACCTGTCCCAGAAGAATACTCGATTCACGCGAGTCTTCTCGGCAGCACATAAGTCCTAGTGGCACCGTGACCCATTTTAGTTCCTGCCTGGAAATGTATCCTGAACAACCGCAGGGCTCTGAGTGACGGTGAGGGACCAGGGGAGCATACAGAAGAGGGGGGAAGGACTGCAGCACAGCCAGCCACACCGCTCTGCCTCCGAGATGAAGCGGCTTTGAGACAGGCGAACAGACAGCTAGACAGGCAAGGTGTGGGGCATCGCAGAGACAAAGGAGCCGGGGAGAGGAGCAGGAAGAGAAAGAGGGAAAAATGGGACAGAGAGCCTGAGATATTCCTAACAAGGATCAGTTCTTGATCCTGAGCACAGGCAGCTTTAAAACACCCAGTCTGATGCTATGGGAGAAAGAGTAAGTTTATTTATTTATGCTGTATTTTCATCCTAATTGGCACATCCTGCCTCCATCTAGCTGTGCTGGTCCACTTAAGGAAACACTGAGCCCAAAGTAACCTAACAAGGTAACAAATCATCAGGCAGTCTCTTTATTCAGAAATATCAACCGTTTCAACTCCAACCAGCAAAGGAGCCAGAAGGACATCCATCCCTCACAAAACGCAAACAAAAAGAAGGGAGCAAAGCAAGCAGCATAACGCGTTCAGATTTTAAATCTCGTTTAGAGCTCATGTAGGCTCTCCCTCCCCACCACTCCCATACAGTATCAATGCCTTTAGCATCCCTGCAAACCTTGTCCTTGCAGTGCTGCTCCTCGGACACGCACACAGACAGACGGACAAACCAGTGAACCTGGCTGTCAGGTTGGAGACTTAAACAGCTCAGCTGTAATCTTCAATAAAAATTTAAACTGTTCAGCACCTCTTAAAAAACAAAAGCTTCCTGCTTGCTGTGAGCAAGGTCTCCTTATTGAGAGATTTACTTTTAATTTTGAATGGCTTCGCAGCATTATCCTTACCAAGAAAAAAAAAAAAGAGCACGGAGGTTTTTGAGCTATTCAGTCAACTGCCTGGTAGGGTCTCTCATCGCAATTAGCTTCTCCCAGCATCACCACATGAGAATTGCTGGTTTGCATCTCTTCCACAAGTCATTTCACATTTTTAAAGGATGGACAAAGTGCTGATTTAATTTGATCGAAAACAGAAAGTCACAAAAGTCACCACTGCTGGTGGAGACCCTTAATACCAGCACTTCCCAGTTCTCACTGTGCTAAGGGAGCTGACTCCAAGTTTCAACAGCTCAGTGTTCCATTCTTTGCTTTTTTAATTTCTTTTTAATCTTATATGGGAAAACAGTGGCAGTTCCCATCTCAAAAAACTCAAAAAAAATATTATACTAAACATGCAGAATAGCGAGTTGAATTCACCATTCAAAATTCTTAAAATGTCACGACACTGAAGTATTTCACTAAGGGACAGAAATTTTTACTTGGTTCAAAGCCTGAAATTTATCTTCTCTCTTTAAAAAAAAAAGCTATAAAAACCTGGACCTTTTCAAAGAAAGCAGGGAAAATACTTTTTCAAATGCTTGTTGATCCTGCTTTGAATAGCAAAAGCTTATTTTCATTTAAATATTTTTCTACAGTATTGGAAACTGAAAAGAGTTTCTAAACAAAGGGCTAAACTGCCTCATTTCATTATCTCCAGGAGTAAAATGGCAAAAGAAAACAAAAAAACACCTGTGCCTTTCAACTGCACCTTTTATGTCATTGCAGCACACTTCGATTTTGTGCTGAATATACCGGTAACTGATTTCTCATTTTTTTCTGCCCGTCTCCAAATGCATACCTTGCCGGCACCAATGCAAGCAAACGTACGCATATTGGAATTTCTGATTCTGACATCAAAAACTGCATTCTAAAACTTCCGTGCATTTTCTTCAGATTATATGGTTGCATATTTGGAAGGTCAATTTGAGACTGCTGTTAAGAGGAAGGATTTCCTGGTCCCTTGCACACTTATCCCTACTGAATTTAACTCAAAAGATGCACGTCTTGCAAACAATTCCAGCAAATTCCCCAGAACAGGACCCAAAAGCACTGCTCATATCTAAAGAATCAGGTTAACGTTTTTTTCTGTCAAATATTGGAAAGCACAAGCATAGATAGCAAAACCAGTAAAGTCATTTATAGACTTTCAGTGCTGGTAGTTTCATTTTTATTAGCAAAACAGGGAAAGGCTGTTATTAAAGGAGGAGCTGGGCTCTAACCTGATTTAGAAATTGCTGCAAAGAAACCAAGGTAGCTTTACATTAGTGTAAGAAAGGTGCAAGATCAAAACCAAGCCTGTGGCAGTGCTCTGTCATGACATGATTTCTTTATAATGAAATATAGTGAAAGAAAATGAGTGGCACAAGAATTTTAATGCACCCCAGACACACATTTACAATGATTAAAAGATCAGTACTTGTAAAACCCAAGGGTCCAACTTTACAAACCTTTACTCAAGCAAGCAGTTTCACTGAAATCAATGGGATTATTTGCATATGTAAGGACTATTTATCTCAGCTGAGATCTGTAGGTTTAGGCCACACATTTCTATTTAGATCTGCTATACAGCAGAATACGCAAAGTCGTAGGGAGAATGGGAGAATGCAGCACCTTGGAGTTAATTTTCATTTGTACCAGTACAGCGTTCTCCGGCCCTCTGAAGCATTTGATAGACTGGGCATGTTTCATAATTGGAAACGTTGGCTAAAATACAAATTTCCTGATGTGAAGAACTGCTACTCATGGATAATAAACAAAATCAATTCTTATTTGCATATTCAATCAGATTTTGGTTTGCATATTAAAGCATAAGATGGTAGAATTTTCACACGGTAGATGGATCCCACTCACTTATTCATGCATATATGCATCCACTAATCCTTACACATGCCAAAATCAGTCAGAAATACTCTCTTTGCTAGGCATTCATAGCACAAAAACACGGTCCCTGCTGCTGTTCTCAACCTTCTCTTTTCGTATAGCGCGTGACAGCATTCTCCCGCAGCTTTCTCCCAAGATTCTGTAATAGTCCCTGTTCTCTATTAGTCTTCTTTTCTCTAGGCAAAGTGATAGTTTGAATTTTTGAATCATAATTTAAAAGGGATGCTGTCAACTGTATGTGCAAAGAACAAAAAACGCTGGACCAGATTTTCAAAGGAGCTTCAGTGTGAACTTGACAATTTTGCTTGTAATTGTCACTGCAAAATGGAATGTATCTCACTGTTAATACTGAAGTGTACTGGACTACAGCTAACATTTGTAGATTTAGATTTTGCATACCTGTTTTTCATGCCCATCTACTAGGAAATAAAATTCAAAATATTTATGTAGTCCAGTACTATCAAAACATAAAATATTAATATTATCCCATAGACCGTAAGTCTAATGATAAATGATAACCCTGTAAGCTATGCTCCAAGGTGCCGAGCGCCTGCAACATCTGTGGGACTTGAAGGCAATCAACGCTGGGAGCGATTAGATAACAGGTTTGACGGCCTTGTAGGCAGTTCGACAGTCTGGATATCTAATTTGCATATAGAAGTGTCATATTCAAATGTATATAATTTCGTGCGTTAAATTAAAAATTCAACTGGAATCCCGTGCTTGGAACCCTAGCTAGCTGCAAACAAGAAATGTTTTCATGTAATTAAAGAAAAAAATCCTATGAACGATCATCAAAACTAAACTGCAATTTGCTGCAGCAGCCTTTACGAGGTCAAGCACAGGGGACTGTAAAAAGTAGAAGTGCCTCGGGTATCTGAAACAATCAGGTATAAACAGCAACGGTATTTCACTCTCCCAGATGAGTGAAAGGCAAAAATCAGCCAGCATGAAGATGAAAGCTCATATAGGATTTCTCAAGTAATGTCAGCTCTGATCAATTGAAACGTTGTTAGCAGCAGGTTGAGGAGGTATTTATTTAACAATGGGACAGAATCTAATTGACTTTGCAGGAGGGGAGGGAGAGCAGGCAGGCAAGCGAGCACCATCGCACGCTGCTTTTTTGAATCTTAAGCAGCCCTTTCTGGAGGGAGGCAGAAGCACAGCCTGGTGCTCCCCAAGCGTGTGTTCTGCCCTCTGTGAACACCAAGGGCACATTCGTGCCCATGTGCTGGGTGGGTCTCCCCCAAAGGGCCGAGCCGCAGGCGCTGGCAGCCCAGGCTCTGTTGCCCACAGCAGCTGTGCTGTTCTGCTTCTGCAGAATGCCTCCCCGTGTCCTCGCAGCATGCTGCAGCGGAGCTCTGCTCCCAGCTACAAGAGTCAAACCCCTCTCTGACGGTTTTTTCATTTCTTTAGAGCTGTTTTTCTAGCTCTGAAGAATTTAAACTATCCGTATAAATAACCAGAAAATAAGGGTTTGACCCAGTTATGCATCTCAGGGCTCCTTGCATTAGTTTGCTAATGCTAAATGTAATGGAAATCACAGCTTTCCTAAAAAACAGGCAGAAGAGAGAGGAAGAGAATTTGTGTTTAGGTTCCTACCCGCTTGGTTAGTTGTCACAGTGACTGACACAGCTTGGTCCTGGCTGGGATTTTGCTTGGACACTCCATTCACCGCCCAGACTTCAAAGGTGTAGTTGGTGTGTGCCAGGAGGTCAGTGATAGAGACTTTGGTGGTTTGCAAGCCGTTCTGCTGTGGGCTGAAGTGCACACCGCTGCCACACGACCGGCAGCGGCTGAGGTCACCGGCACCACACCTCTTGCATACCACGTTGTAGGAGATGTCTTCCCGACCACCTTTGTTCTGGGGGGGACTCCACTCCAAGTTCACTGATGTCTCGTTGACATTGGAAATCAGGTTCTGGGGAGCAGACGGAGGGCCTAGAAAGAAAAAGTCCACGTTTTTAGTAACTGGAAAAACCTTACATAGGATCTTCAGACTTAAGGTCCTGGGTGACACTGAGCACATGAACTCCCAGTTAAGTCAAGGACAATGGAGACCACACAGAATTTTACTTCTCCGTGTTCTTAATGAAGATGAAGAATTAACTGATAAGTCAAACTCTGATCTCTTCATCTGATGAATTAACAGTATTTTACAGCTTTAAATGAGCCTGAAAGCCCAGTATTGCAATTAAGCAAAAGTGCGTTTTTTTCACTTTCACTATTTATACTTGTTATGAAAAAAAAAAATAAATACGTATTTTACATTAATTTTTCCATGATCCTCCAAGGAAATGATCAAATGCACAAACTCCTGCTTCACTTGAGATTTTCAAGGTCCCCCATTACCTACAGGCAGACTTTCAGTGAAATTGTTGCTCTCCCGATATTTTTTTCTTAAGAACACAAGTGCAATATTTTCCAGACGAGTTGATGTCAGATCGCATTCAGCGAACACTGAAGCCCATCAAGCAGCAAGCTGGATGTGACACTTTGGGATGCAGGAAAGAGATCTGAGTAGAAAGCCAGACACAGAACTAAGGCTTTGAAGGACGGAGAATAAAGGTTACAACAGGGGAGTGCTGGAGAACGTGAAAGACTTGGGAAGGAAAATATGGTGAGCAGCTGAAAGAAGAGCTGATACAAGAAAACCGGTCAGGAACAAGAGACCATAGAGAAAGCCTGAAAACAAGGCTGAATCAGAGACACAAGGTCAGCTCTTGCACCACAGGGAGAGGAGACTTTAAGACCTGTAAACGCGCTGCCAAACAGTTGCCAGCTGGTTCCAGCACGGGGACTACGGGATTTAGGGACAGAGCGGAAGGCAGCTGGGGAGGACCTCCCTGGGCAGGAGCGGAGCGGAGCCCGCAGGAGGCAGCTCCTCCTGGCACCTTCAGCAACCCGCTGGGACTGTAAAGGTCGGTTCTGCCTGACCGGGCAAGCGGCCTCCAGCAGAGCCCTGCCTCGCTCTGTAACCGACACACAGGCAGAAATCTTATTTATGTGCTTAAATCCCCACAGGCCCAAAACCAATACACATTGAAAATGCAGAACAGCTAATCCTGTGACTCTTGATCTAATTTCAATATAGTTGAGGTGAGACACACTTTTCGTACCCTTAAATTTAACAAGGATGATTCAGAGCAACCCCATGAAATAGATGGGTACTTTATAAATCACAGAAAGTTTCGCTGATCATTGAAAGTCAGCCTATTATGGGGTGGAACAAGAGGGTGCTCTGACTACGCACACAATACTTCAGGGCAGGACGTAAGGTAAATCGAATAGAAATGAAACAGAGAGTGAGAACCAAGCTTGCAAAAGGTAATGATCCAAACCAGAAGACAGTAAAAACAGCAGTCCTTAGTAATTACTCACAGTCAGAGCTTTAAATACAAATACTATTATCAGAAAAATACTGGAAACAATTTTGCAGAAAGTCACAAATTCAGTTTTTATTCAAGACACAGGAGAGCTTGTCAAAGCTTCTTAAATTTTATCAAAATACATTTGACGGTGGGAATTCAAAAAAAGTTTTCTTTTTTTTTTCTTCTGGTAGAAAAGAAATAGAAAGAGAAAGTTCTGGCAAGTTTCATCCCGGGTTTTTCATTCCTGTTATTTGTCAAATGTTATGAAACTAGAAAAAAAAAAGAACCAGCACCAATAATTTCATTAAACGTATAAATAAATCAATCATAATCTCTCATATGCCAAAGGTAAAAAAACAGCCATCAGGGTAAAATGGGAATGAAATATGTTATGGCGAAATTCTGCTGAAATTACAAAATGACTCAAGTGTAGCAGCGAAGAGGTTAAGCCATTAAGAGGTGGCTACAGTGAAGATTAATTTTGGCTGCCTCGATTCATCAGGTACATCTAAAAGGAAGCCTGAGACCTGAGCACACAGAGGAGGATAAGGTTTTGAGGGCTGCATCATGTCCTTGGGTCTGTGCTTGAAGCAGCCAGGGTGTAATACATGTTCAACAGGACACAGGACTTTTATTTTAGCAGAGGCAGGTAGGTTAAGGAAAGAGTCTTAAATTACATAGAGGTCAAATGTACCTACTTATCTTCAGTACCTAAATGAAAGGCCTCTGCTGCAAGACTGGCTGAGCAAGGATTGTTTCTCTGCGCTCACTTCAGAAATACGAAATTAATATATTCATTCGGAAAAGAGGGAAATCCTCCCTTCCTGCTAAACCTTTGAAACAGCCTCCAAGTTAATTGGGGCTGACAGGTAGAATTACTACAAGAAGAGAGAGCCCGGGCCAGCCCCTATGCCAGGGAGCCCTCCCTCCTGCTGCACCACCAGGCTGCCATTCATGACTTTCATTGATACACTGGCAGCATTTAGGACTCCTCAGGACAAAACCCTTTTACTCAAAGATCAGTTACCAAACACAGTAAAAGACGTTTCTTGCTCCAAAAATGCTTAGAAACTAGCAGAGAAAGAAAAGGGAAATAAACTGTTTTTAATATCTGTTCATCACGTGGAAAATGAGGTAGAGAGAGATGTGGTGAGATGACAAGGGCACACAAGATGTGTCTCACACATCTAGGCATCGGTCACAACTCTACGAAACCTCAGCCCAGTGCCTCTGCCGCATAACCAGCCCTCCTTCCCCCAAAAGTGGTGTTTGCCAGCTCCCCTGGGCAGGAGAAAGCGGTCTGTCTCCACTCAGCCTGCAAATACACGAGCCTCCTTTTCAAAAATACACTCCGAGTGCAATGAGGTGGAAGACACTCCTGAAATCATGAATTCGAGCGGCAGCGCAAGAACTGCTGAGCAGGAACCGATCTAAACCCCATCCACCCCCAAAATCCCCAAACTGCCTCGCACCAGGGCTCGCTCTTCAAGACAAGCAGGTGCACATCGTGACGACATTTGTCCCTCTGCACTGTCAAGGAGGCAGGAGAAAAAACAAAAGCCTCAGCAGACTGCAAGCTGAGGTCCACGCTGCGCAGCAAAGGTCTGACCTCGCCAGAGTGGCTGGCGGGGGAGGAAATTGTCCTCCCAGCAGCCGCTCAGCACATGGCCACAGCAAGCCCTCAACAGAAACTGCTCCTGTGGGAAACGGCAAGAGCTCTACAGCGAGAAAAAGCAAATGCTTTCCTACAGAGCATTCACCTCCTGCAATCACATAAGTGAGAGCATCAACTCGGAGCACAGCCAGGAGAACTATGATAAGGTGGTGCCAGCACAAACACCTCCCCTCCCTGGGCAATGCCCGGCTTTGCCATGTTGCCCGCGTTTCAGGGGGATATTTGTGAAACAAAGTACTACCCGGGAGGAAAGTTCATAGAGCCACAGTTACGGTCTGAAAGATGGGCCTCTTAGCTCAGATACAGCAGCCAGTTTGGGGTTAAACTCAGACTTACTCTCATGTCCATTAAGATATTTTCCAAGGCTCTAGGTCCAGTTTCACGTGGGAAAATGTGCCAGAATGAATCAAGCTCCTCAGAAGCAAGAAGTCAGTAATTAGTATGTGGGACAGAGCATTGCAGTGTCTAAACAGAGACGCAATGAAGCGGAAAACCAGGGAAGCAGATGCTTGCAGGTCACAGAGATGAGCGCACCTCCTCCAGCGTGAAAAGGAAGATGTGGGGGAGTCTCCCCCAAATGGTGGGCTGACATTACAGTGAGGGGAAAAGCAATTTCTTTTCTTTCTGAAGCACAGTCATCAATTGAGCTGTTGGCACTGGGAGTGGGGAACAGTTTCAGATTGATGGGCCTGGTTTCAGATGTTGAAACACAGGGCGTATCTGCTCCTTCAATGGTGATGGGGATTTGCTTTGTTTCTGACAACAGAGCTGCTGCCGCTAGATGAGACCACAGCCCTTTCAGGGCCGTGGCAGGCGGGAAGCGCCAGCACTGTCCCAGGGTGAACCCAGCTGGCACGACCCTGCAGAACTGTGTCCTGCGGTCGGACCACCGCCCTCACGCAAAACCTCCATCCTCCGGCAGAAAAATCTAGCTACAGGGCAGATGAGAGGGGAGAGAAGGAGCTGCGTCTCTGAAACAGTAGTGCCAACTACTGTGATTATGTCCCGAGTCCCATGATTTGCAGTGTTTTTCTTAAAACTCCTGCTGATGGAAGCATGCTATTGTATGTGCCATTCAGCACTTTGGAGGCATGGAGCTAATACTGCCACACCGCCCAGAATAGCTTAAAAATGTGACAGTTCCTACAGAAAGAAAAAAAAAAAATCTAGACGTTTTTATTTTGTAAAACAACTAATTTTAAAGTCCTTTTTATGATGTTAGGAAGCCAGGTGCTCTCGTTTTCCTTGCCCAAAACAGCAGAACCCGAGGGATGGATCTGCAGAGCTGCTTGCACTTCTCCCGTCGGGGACTGCAAAGAGGACACGGTTTGACCATGGAGCCTGAACCAGCCCATTTACCAGCACCGTGAGTGGACATGGGCGACTCCTCTGTGGGAACACAGGGAACGGAAGTTTTTAATTTTATTCCTTCCTGGGGCTTCATAAATCTTGCTTCACAATAAACCCATCAAAATCAACTGAGCCATGAAGCAAATGGAAAGGCCCTGGGTGGAGCAGTTCATTGTGCGTGTCAGGGCCGAGGGAAACACTGAAGAGTCTGTTTAGCAACAAATAATCTTTGTCAAGCTAATCTTGCTATCTTCCTCAACCCTCCTATTAGATTTACTTAAACATATTGGGCAACGCAGATTGTTTGGCTTTCTCTTGCTGCAATAAGCTACAGCCCCTATATCTGTGTCTCTTTCACCCACAGACAGACAGATCTGTCTGTCTTAAGGACAATGTTGTAACCCATGTCCAACGAATGTTCAGGGAAACAATAGCTTTTAAGGGGTTAACTGCACGAGCATTACTTGTACTAAAAGGACTGATGCATTTTAGCGCTTTTCCCACAATCTTAGGCTGCATTTTAACATTTCATCCATCAATATTTC